TATATTAATAATAAATATATAATAAAAAATATATAAAATAAATATAAATATATATAATATATATAAAAATATATAAAATATATATAAATATAAAAATATATATATATATATAATAAATATATATTTAATAAACTTTTTCCCTAGTTTTACTATATTCAATTTGATATATAATATAAAATTTTGTTATTTATGGAAAAAATTGATTTATTTTTTTTTTTTTTTTATAAAGATCGAACATACGTGTGTATTTGTGTATCACTATCGATCCTTTTCGATCATTGTCCGATCATTTCACACACGAAGGAGGAAAGAACACTATTTGTGTAAATTTTTTTTTGTTTTTTTTTTTAATCTTTTAATGGGAAAATGTTTCATTTTTTACGTGTATGTGTTTTTGAAATATTTTCTGTTATTTGTATTATTATTATTATTATTATTATTATTATTATTATTATTATTATTATTATTATTATTGTTGTGGTTGTTGTTTTTTTTTTATCGATTTAAATTTGATCGAAAGATTTATTTCTTAATTTTGTTAACACTGCTATTTAAAAAGGAAAGAGAATATATTTTTCCTTGTTTTCCTTTTAATTTAATTTTCAATCAAATTTATATATCACGTGTTGCTCGTGCATGTTTGAGGTTTTTAATTTTTGTTTCTTCTTCGTTGTCGTGTTTTTTTTTTTTTTTTTTTAATTTTATATTTTAAACAACCGAAACCGATTTTATTTTTAAAAGAATTATTTGTTCGATCTATCAACACTATTATAGATCATTCGTTGAATCGTGTTGTGTTGTTCACTTTGAAAAAGAACAGATCGAAACTTTTTATCATGAGAATTATTTATTATTAAACGATTTAAAAAAGAATAATAAAAAAGAAAAAATTACACCAATCGATCGTTCGTATTTTCATTTTTTTTTTTTTTAATGTTCATATATAAAAAAAAAAAAAAAGAGAGAAAACAAATACAAAGGTGTCTTTTTACTTTCTTTCCTACAAAAGAATTCTTGAATGATTAAAAATTTTAATCGTANCACCCATTTAAAGAAAGAAGAAAACCTGTGAAATGCTATTAAAGAAACACAAGTCAAATAAATAGAAAACCATTTGAGTTGGGAGGAAACTAGAGAAACGAAATAAGAAAATAAACGAGATCAAAGAGAACAAAATAGAACAGAATAGTAGAACAAAATCCAAAAGTAATGAAAAGTTCTTTAAGAAATGTTTCACATTAAAAAAAAAAAAAATCATTGTTAGAAAAATTCTTCAATGATGATGAAACGAAAAGAAAATATTGAAAATTAATGAAAGATGAAAATGCATAAATTATGCAATTTACGTATACTCGAAAGTAAACATGATCGAACCATAATGACCATATTTGGGTACTTTGATGGGAAATACATAGTTGATCATTTTACGTATTGAAAATTATTTAATAACTATGCAACGAAGCAAATTTTGTAAAACTTGTAAATGAAACCTTTTGAAATTTGATTATTTAAGTTTGAAATATGATCCTGCATATAAATATCTAATTTAATAAATACATATATATATATATATTGTTTTATTTATTAAATGTGTTTTTGTATGTTTGTATGTGTATGGTGAATATATATACGAACCCAGAATTCGAAAATCACATCTACAGAACAAAAAGGAGGATTTGTTTTATAGATTAGCATCATCCAAATCCTTGGACGTGCTCGAACGACGATCCTGATCGTGATCCTTTGAAGTAGTCGTCGTTGTTGGGTTCAAGGTAATCATCTCACAATTTTGTGCCACCTGTACTTTAATACTCTGACTTGGTAATAGACTTTCTTGAACCGTATTATTACCGTTGCATAATTTTTCGCTTTTACAACCATCTGTTAATTTGGGAGTACCGTTCGTTGAATTTCTTGAAAAACAGGGTAAAACCTGAAACAATAATTATTTCAATATTATCATTTAAATGTTGAGGATATTTATTTCAAAAAAAAAAAAAAAAAATTAGTTGTATTTTTTTATAATATAATTAATTATTTTAAGAATATAATCAATTGATTTAACTGTAATATACTATAATAATATAATAGATTGATTAGTACAATTTGATTAGGATTTTTTGGAAAAAAACCTACGAACTCTTCCGAAATATTCTACTGACCGTCTTCTCGATTGTACTACCAGTTACCGATCACCCTGTATATATATATTTGTATTTATTTATATGTATTAATTATGTTTGATAAAAATGATAATTGCTTATGTGTGTTGTGTAAGCTTGATGATAATTCTAACTAAACTAAATTGAACCATTAACTATCCTATACCCTTGAGAATTGTTTATTATGATTAACGTCTCGATAGTTTGTATACCTTCGTGAATACACACACGTATGTACTTATATACATATTACCAATTATTACTATTCCCTATTTATATTTATCTTTCTAATAAATATTATAAAATATTACTGTGTAAATACTATCTGTAAATTAGACTTCATTATTTCTTTTATATTATCATTTTATTTCTATGATCTTTAATTACATAGTTATCTTCTTTTTTCTTGTATTCATTACTAAAACCATCATCTTTCATCTATATAAACGTATATAAAAATTAATATATTCATATATTTTTCATTATCTATCTATTTCATAAATACATAATTGTTTTTTTTTTTATTGTAATTAATTATCATTGAAATATTTGTATTACTTTGATAATATATTTAGTTTTATAATATAATTAGATTAAATGAATTTAATTAAATTTTATTGAATAATATTTTTTTATAATACAAATCAAAGTAAAAAAATGAACATTTTTCTGATAATTATTTTTGGTATTTTTTTTTTTTGTAGTTTTCATTAAACATTGACCTCTTTTATCCTTTATCTTTTGATTGAACCTAATTTAAATGATAGTCTTCGATTAGGTATAGTAATATAACTTTGTCTCGATCTAACTTTAGGTGTATTATGTACACCTAATGTAATATTTGCATGAGGAATAATTTAGGGTTTAGACACACGTATTTATGTATATATATATATATATATATATATATATATATATAGGTAACATTGTATGAGTAACTTCGCAGGATGACGTCCGTACGGTTAATTGCATACACATTTACC